ACGAAGTTTTGTAGAGAGAGAGACGATGATGTGTGTGAGAGAGAGAGATGGAGTTTGGGTTTAGTAGAGAGAGAGATGAAGTTTGAGTTTTAGGGAGAGAGATGGTGTTTTGAGAGAGAGAGAGATGGAGTTTGGATTTTAGAAAGAGATGGAGTTTTGAGAGAGAGAGATGGAGTTTTTGAGATAGAGAGAGATAGAGTCATTTCATAAGTTGTTGAGGTCAATAATACATAGTCAAAAGAGTTTAGGGGGTTGACAAATAGAAAAGATGGAGTCTTTTTGCTTACAAGTAATAATTTCAATTTTTGAGTCTTATGAGATATAGAAGTTAAAAATATGGTACGATAGGATATTTTCCCTTGGAATAATTTTAAATGTGTAAAATATTAAATAGTGGATCTCTCGTTGGCATTTTAATAAAATTTTCTAAAATTTATTCGAAGAGTGGAACAAGGGAAAAGCATATGTAGGTCGATATCAGTGATAAAAAAATCAGTAACCTCATCTGGAATCGGGTGATCTGGATCGATAATCAACTAGACCGTTCCGAATCCAGTCATGTTCAAAAAATTAGTAACCCAATATAGAATCGAGCGATTCAGATTGAATATCGACTGGACCGTTCCATATCCGGTCACAAAACAAAATTCCTAACTCATTAGTATAACATCACGCTAGATATGTAAATCGAGTCACAAAACGTGATTCAACGTCACGCTAGATCCGATTCCAATCGGCAGTATAATATCACGCTAGATCTGATTCCTAAATCGGTAGTATAATATCACGCTAGATCTGATTCCTAAATCGGTAGTATAACATCACTGTAGATCTGCAAATCAGTAAGTATAACACCCCGCTAGATCTGTAAAACAGTAAGTATAATTTCAAAACTCACTGACTCAAATTAATTATGACATCATCAAAGCCCTCACAGGGCCACGTGCCCCTATGAATGTATGTACACTGCCTTATGCTTTTCAATCACACATGCGAACATGGTAATGCGGTAGTTTTTATGGATGCAAAACTTTCTCCTTTTTCGATGGGGGATATTCAGTTGCATTCACAGTTTGAGGCTTGGAGCATATAGTTCTCTCTCTCATATATAATACATTGATTTTTTTTTATCTTGAAAT